TACTGTCTCCCTAGGCCCAACCTAGAGGGGACACGAATGTGACTGTGTCTGATTGTGACTTACTACTAGCCACTGTCCCTCTCTGGCTGTCTGGGCTGGCTCTCTGCGTGGGTCAGGAATCATCTGGTCTCAATACAGCACTGCACATCTACCTTAGAGTTATTTAGTTCAACCCAGCTTTTCATACCAAGGAACAATTCTTTTGTTTGTTTGTTTGTTTTGCTATAGGGTATGTGTGCTCACTAGGAGAGGGAAAGTGAGAAATCACCCCCTAGGGGAGATGGCCTTTTCATAATTCCATCTCCTCGAGTCTCCTCTTGAGATTTTGGGCATGCACGCATACAAGCCCAGAGTGATTTTTAAATGACCTGGTCTGGGAATTGAACCAAGAAGTTGGCCATGTGGGATCCAGTGCCTTAACCCAAGGAACTCTTTTAAGCTTCTGTTTTTAGCATGTCCCTGGTCCTTGCAGACCGGCTGGCTTCCCTCCAAGGAAATGGATGCTCATCATCTCTCTGCCCCAGTTGCCCGGAAGAGGCACAAAAGGGAGAACTGACAATCCCAGACTTAACACCTTGGGAGCTGAGGGAAGCCCAGTAGTCTCCACTCTGCTCAGCTATCCCAGGCTCAGGCTGTGCTCCACACTTTGCTCTGGACTCATGGTGCCTGACCACAGGTTCCAGTTCCCTCTGTGCTCCTGGGCTAGCCCATCTGTTCTGTGCCTGGGCAGACACACAGGCGCTTCACACAGGTGGTCAGCAGAGACCACAGGAGGCCAGCGTCTAGGAGCAAAGCTCCAGTGATGAGCACCAGCATCAGCTCCTAGCAGTGTTTTTATGGTGGAATCCTGGCTGCCGCTGCTGCTCTGGCTCCCCTAGTCCTCCTGGTCAATTAGAGGAGTCCAGATAACGCTGGAATCTGCAGCGGCGTGTGTGTGTGTGTGTGTGTGAGTGAGTGTGTGTGTTTTCACTGCTGTTCCTCCTACCTCCCCACAGGGCTTAGCACTTTAAGCCTTCAAAGAAAAGAGGATTCACTTTTGCAGAGCACCTATAAAGTTTAATTTCTCATTTACTGTCCCAGGCAACCCCACCAGGTAGTATTCCTCTCTCACGTTCAAGATGTGGGTTCAGAGTGGATGACCAAGATTATACAACTGTTGTGCAGCACAGCGAGGCCTCCAGATCCAAATCCCAGGCCTTGCTCCCATACCATGGGCTTCTAGTAAGGCCATGGGCCCTGGTGGCATGGAGGGTGGGGCAAGGGTTGCAGGACTTCCAGATTGTTTCTAGTGCTGCCTCTGCCTCAGGTGCACAAGCTCTAGGCCTTTACCTCCAGGTATTAAATATTAAATGCCCCCCCCCCCCACCAGGACAAGTCAATCACCAGCCATCTGCATTTGAGTTCTGAGTTTCCCCCTTCAGGGACTAGGACAATTGAAGATTTTCTACCCAAACTTCCCTCCTGCTCCCCCACATCTAGGCAGGTAGCACACACTCTTTATTGTCTCTGTCTCTCTCTTTAATTTTTATTTTTGAAGTTCTTAGCTCGCTGGTGCTCTTTAATCTTGCTAACTCTTACAGTTCCCCCTCTCACAAGTGGCAAGCCAATCACCAGCCATCTACTTTTGAGTTCTGAGTGAACTCTTTGGCACAATGCCCTATAGTTTTCTTTCTTTTTTTGAAAGAATTATTTTATTTAACTTTATTCATTTTTTTAATTTGACCAGAGAAAGAATAAGCGAGAGAGAGAGAGAGAGAGAGAGAGAGAGAGAGAGCAAAAGTGAGAAAGCAAGCCACCAGGTCCAGGACTTGAACCCAGTCAGCCATGTGGGAGTCCAGCACCCTTTATCACCGCGTCACCTGTGGCCCCATGGAGTTTTCATTTTTTGCTTTAATAAAAAGGTGTTTTCTTTTTTTTTTTAAATTGACTTTATCTATTTTTTTCTTTATTTTCTTTTCCTTTTTCTTTTAGCTTTCTCACTTTTCTGCTCAGCCTCCACACACTGAGTTTCTAGATAGGTCTAGGTGCACAGTAGCCAAGTATCTGAATACTTTTAGGGTCAGAGGAATCCTCAATTTCCATGGAATCTGCTGCACAAAGGGAGAAAAATGGTAGTACTAGAGACTGCAGATCACCTCCTCCTGCATATCTCTGAACACTGAGATTTAACTCCAAAACTTAGGAAAAACCGTATAATCCATCAGATGATCAGAAACCACTGCAGAGGCACAAGAAATATGAGAAACCAAGAAACTATCTCTCCCCTAAGGGAAAAAAAAAAGTTCCTATTTTCCATAGACAATACAAGGGAACTTGTGGAAATGTCAGATAAAGAATTTAAAGTATTAACAGTGACAAAGCTAACAGAGATGCAAGAGAAGAGAGATAAGGAACTCCAGAAGATGCAGGAGGAAAGAGATGAGTTCCAGGAAGTGCAGAAGTTCTTTCTTGCATGATCTGAAAGAGGAAATGCACATCATAAAAAAGAGTCAAACAGAATTGTTAGAGATTAAGGTTGTAATACAGGAAATCAAAACCTCCCTTGAAAGTATTAAAAACAGATTAATTATGCCAAAGATTAAATTTCAGATGTAGAAGATAGAATCTCTGACCTAGAAAAATTCACCAAAAAGACTGATAAAATACCCCCCCCACACACACACAAATGAGAATAATATATGAGTAATACTAGATACCATTAAGTGCCCAAACATCCAGATAATCGATATCCCAGAATGTGAAGAAACTAATAAGGGCATTGATAATCTATTCCATGAAATCCTGGTAGAAAACTTTCCAAACCTAGGGAGGCATTCAAATATCCAGACCCAAGAAATACAAAAGACCCCACATAGAATCAACCCAAGAAGATCTTCTCTAAGGCACGTCATAGCCAGATTGACCAAAACCACAGACAGAGACAAGATACTAAAATTGGCAAGAGAGAAACGTCAAAGAATATCCCATCAGGCTAATGTCAGACCTCTCATTAGAAACAATGCAAGCAAGGAAAAAATTGGGAAAATATATTCAAAGTGTTAAGTGAAAAACAATTTATCAAAAAAATACTATACCCTGCAAGATTATCCTTCATATGGGAAGAGACAAAAACATTCTCAGATAAACAAAACCTGAAAGAATTTACCAATACCAGATCAGCTCTCTAAGTTCTGAAGGGAGTGCTATACCAGGAAACTAAAGTTAGACACACAGAAAGAGGAGTACAAAAAGCAACCAAGAGAATGGCCAACTTAATGGCAGGGACAAGTCCAGAAAGATCACTAATAATGTTGAATGTTAACTTCCAGGATTTAAATGGAAAGATCAACCATAGTAACACTGCAAATCCAATAGAAGAGAGATTAATTATATGAGACTGAAAATAGAATTTTATGACTTTCAGCTAAAACATTACTGATTTTCTTCTATACTTTGTTTTCCTGATTTAATGATTTTTGTCTTCTCTTTAACTGTTCATAGGTTCATCTATCTACTGTTTGACCTGAACCCTAATCTTTTTCCTGGCTTTAAATATTAAGCAAATCTCTCTTAACATTTTTTTAGATTTTGACCTATTAAAATGAAAGCTATTAATCTCAAATTTTAAAAAATGCATTAGAATATCTATTTAGTGACTGCAGTAAGCTATATAGCCCCAGCTAGGTGCTACTTTATAGTATGTTCATTCTACTTACTGAGGTTTATGCCTAAAGTCAGACATGGGTTCGTAGATATGTATGTGCTTGCTATTGAAAGTGTTTAGGTTAATTAAGTGAATCAATAAAGTGTGAAAGGAAAGGAACTGTAGATACCAGAGACGGTGTGAGAGAAGGGTGGGAAATGGCAGAGGGTGAGTGGTAGGGAATCAAGGTGGGGGGGGGCGAGAAGCAAAATATATAAGAAACAAGAAATGGAAAGTTATGATGATATCTTTGATTTAGCCAATATGCAGTGAATTCTGGATGGGTCATCTCATTTTGTATACTGTAATGATGTACAGTGAATGAATGCAAATAAATTTAAAATAAAAAACCTGATCAAACCAATAAATATTAAATGAAATATTTAAAGTTGTATTTTACAACTGTGTTTATATAAAGATGAATATAATTCAGGCTGGATTTATTAGTATTATTAGTCTACAGGGGGCCTTCAAAAAGTTCAGAGGTCATGCCCCCAGGAAGCGATTTCTCACTTTCTTTCTCTCTCACTCTTTCTTGTCTTGCTCTGGTAATAACATACGCCTCAGGGGAAAAGGAGTTCGTGAAAAATCGGCGAGATGTCCCTTTGCGCCTTGGCAGAGCTCCTCTGAAGCTCCGGGACCATTCTCTCACATTCTGTCCTCCACGAGTACTGGGACCGCAGGCTGGGAGTCGGAGGGACGGAAAATCACGTCGCAGGTATTCCGGCTGGACCCACGCACCCCTCAGCGGTGTGAGCGCGCGCACTGCCATACCCTGGGCCTGTAGTATTCTCTCTGGTAAATGAAAACGCTAGACAGGCCGAGCTCCGAAAGTTCTCAAAGCTCGGCAAGCAAAGCACCTGGGTAGAAAGAAGGCAGTCCTCTTCCCAGGGGTGGGGGACACAGAGTCTGGGAACGGGTGCAGCGGAGACCGAGGGGCCAGCGCTGCGCAGCGTGGCAAAGCGCGCCTGAGTGTCACGTGTGTGCAAGGTGCTTGTTCACTTGCTCGAATTTTTGGAAAAGTCCTAGACTCCGTGTGACCCAGGAGATCGGCTGCGGGCGGGGCAAGCCCCAGGGCTGAGGGTTCCCTGAGGCTCCGAGCTGTGTCGGTGGGCGCCTCCAACGTGTATCTGCGCATCCCAAGTCTGGCGGTGAAAAAAGGCAGGCCCCCGGGCGAGTCCTAGGGATTCGCAAAGTGCCGAGGGAGGCCGGGTTCGGGGAGGCGGGGCGTCTGAGGTCGGGGGCGGGCACTGGGGCGGACCCCGGGGGCGGACCCGAGGCGGGGCGCAGGGTGGCTTTCCCTGAGCCTGGACTCCGCCGCGCAGCTAGTCGAGAGGTGGCGGGCCCCTGGCGCCCCGCGGCCACCATGCTCAGCGTCGTGCACTTCCTCCGGAGCTTCTTCAAGGTGAGATCCGGCGTCGCTGAGCCCGCGGTGGGGATAGTGATATCCCGCCGCGCGTGGGGAGGAGAGCGGGAGTGCTCTGCTGCGCCCTGGACAGTCCGCTGGGCATGGAGTCAGGGGCTGGGGCATC